CACCTCTGGTCACTCCCCCCAGACAGTCCTTACTTGCAACCTTGGTGTCTCCTGGTTTTCATCTTTACTGAAACACGCTTTTCCTCAAATAATTTTCAGAGCTAAAAAGCTGCAGATTTCAAGTTAGGTTTTGTTTTGTTTCTTTCCTGCTTAACATGGGAGGACAGGACCTCAGTGATAATTGAAATTGACTGTGACCCAAGTTTGTATAGGAAATAACTAATTTGGATACAATTTTCTCAAATAGTTAAGAAATTGTAGAGTAATGATAGTCTGTATTATAATTAATTTAATTTTAATATTTGCTAATTCTAATTGCAAAACAAGAGAACAGAATAATTATGAATGCGAGGAGTTTTTCTGCCCATCTGGTCTCTTTGGCTGTTTGTAGTCAATAGATCCCAGGATCTCATCCAGCTGTGTCTTTAGATCAGATCAGATCACTTTATTAGACATATACAATTTCTTGTATTAGGAATTTGAATTTGATCCAGCTGAACGAGTAAGCATTCTAATACACTTGTTGTACATGGAAAATAAACAAATCTTGAATTTGTGTTTTCACAAAGCCCAACTTGGTCTCCATGAGACACAGAGACGGAAAAAAAGCTTGGGGTCAGAGCACAGGGTCAGCCATTTATACAGGACCCCTGGAGCAATTGGGGTTCAGGGCCTTGCTCAGGGAGTAGGATTCCTCTGCCGGCCACGGATTTGAACCGTCACCCTTATAGCACAGGCGCAGATCCTTAGCCAATGAGCCACCACTCAGCCCAAAAACTGCTCATCCGATTTAGCTGCAGTTCAGATTCCACCAAGGTTTGAACTTGGATTGCTGGATTCGGAGTCTAGAGTGCTATTCATTACACCACAGAACCGATGGGTTAGCAGGTTACCAGGGTATTGGCTCCAACAACATGTCTGGGCAGCTTGTTTCACACCCTCACCACCCTTTGTGTACAGATCACCTAGTGGCCATTTCCCAAGTTGTTTTTTTATCAGGACTTGGTAATGGTGTCATGGTATTGTTTTTTAACTGAAAGTATATCAGACTCAGTCATGTCTATATTTGACATGACAAATCGAAGAAGCTTTGTGGATAATTGAAAATATGATTTTCCTGTTGTAGAATTAGGAAAAGTGCCACTGAAATGCCGTATAAACATGGTTTAATATCGCTGCCAGCAGCACGCAATGACAGCCGGCTCACCGTCTCCCTTTTCTCTCGCCGAGACTCGCTGGACTCGGGTTCCGCCTTTTTCGCCCTCTTCCATTGGCCGCATAGAACTGCCAGTATAGTCAACATTCGTCTCTGATTGGATCGTCGGATCGCTTTGCCGTCACACCTTTCGTCACTACAAAAAAGCAGAAAGGTGACCAAACACGCTTTGTGATTGGCTGCTTGGGCGCAAATCCAGAAACCTGCGTGTGCGATTGGTGGAGCGCGGCGCCGGTAGGCGGGTAGCTCGGCGTGGCAGGGACGAAGGGGGCGGAGCGTGAGAGTCGGACAGGAAAAGAAAAAGGAAAGAGGAGAGTCAGAGACCGACAACAAACGGTAAAGTCTTTTTATTTTAACATGTTTAACTTGTTCAGAAGGGCGCACGCCGGGTCACGGTGGTGTCTAGTATCGATGTGCGTCCGATTTTGAAAGAATATATAAGGAGGGGTTATCCAGTTCCTTGAGAAGCCCACAACAACAATAAAGACTCCGAGTTCGAGGAAAAAGAAAGTTGGATCGCGGAATGCGTGCTCCCCGGCCGGCTGAGCGGGCTCCTGCTCTCCGCGGGCCGTGAGCTGGCGGCCAGTAACCCAGCGCAGTCTGCGGGAAGGGCGGGCTGGCTGTGCGCTGCCGGGCGGGGGCCCAGCCGCGGGCCGGGCTGCGGGGCGCTGGGCC